GAGTGAGTTCTTGTCCAACTTGTTTCCTCTTGCATGTGCAGAACCTTCCTCATCCCTGCTGTGCAGTCACTGTTCAGGAGTACCTGTTGAGTGAGCAAATGGGTGAGTTATTAGCATTTGGAAAATACTGAGAGGGTGGCTGCCCGTTGGCAGTTGATTGACAAGGATGTAATTTGGAAGCGTTCTGCTACAGGGGTCTCTTGCTGGAGCCACCAGCTTCAATTGACAGACAATTTGCAAGCTGTCTTAGTCCATTTGGCTTGTCACAAAATGCCTTATGCTCAGTGACTTACAAACAACAGAAATTTATTTCTAAGAACAAGGCATCAGCAAATTCAGCATCTCCTGAACCCACTTTCTGATTCTTAGGTGGTACCTTCTCGCATCTTTGATCATAGCCAAAAGGCTGAGAAGCAATAGGTGGTGCCCTCTCCCTGTCTCCTCACATGGGGAGGCAGAGAGAATGTTAGTCTTTCCTGGTATTAGGGCACTAATCTCATCCATGAGGCTCCACCCTGATGACCTCATCACCTCCCGAAAGTTCCACTTCCTAGTACCATTACCTGGAGGATTTCAGCATATTCCAGGCAGGGGAGAAACATTCAATGCTTAAGCACAGAGGTTGAGACAGGTCATTTGCTTGTTGACTATTTCATATTTATAGATGGAAATAGGTTATTATGTTTCATTTCAAAGATCATCACCTGGAAGATGGGTAACAAGAGAAACATACCTAATATTGGGCAAATTAAGCTCTCTCTGCCTTTCTCACTGATAAAATTGTAAGAATGATACCAGCCTCATCTACTTCCCTTCCCTGTTGCCCCTGTGGACGTGGAGGAGGTGGATAGGGAGAGTGTAGGGATGGACAGGGAGGAAACCTTTCAGGTAGAAGGTACTAAGAGGCGGAGGAGACCCTGGAGAGAGTGTCAGGAGAGCGCTGTGGGGGGCAGAGAGCACCTGCAGGCAGGAGGGAGGGCCGATGTGTCCAGTGTCCAGTGCTGTTGAGACGGGGCGGACACTGGTCTCAAAAAATGTACCTAGAGTTAAGGACAGGGAAGTGACTTGAGTCTGCAGGTTTTGGCCAAGTGGGAGTAAGCTAGAATGGTCAAGGGTTAGGTCCCAGCTGCTTTGCGCCGGGGGAGATCCTGTCCATGCCCCATGTAGGAAGACCTCTGCCCACAACCTCGGATATGAAACCCTGGGATAGAGCACTGGGGCTGGGAATGAGGGTATGTGAGAGGGTATGCCCGGCTGGTGCCGAGACCTTGACTGCACCTTCCACAGGGACCGCTGTGCCCTGGCTGTGTACCTCATCCTATGTGCAGAGAGAGGGCAACTCCCTCCAGGCCTGCCAGGTGGAGCCTGTGAAACTGCTCACGCCAGGCCTGGAGATCATTCATTGTGTCACAGTGTGAATGTAAGTGTTCCCCAACATTCATGTGTCAAAACAGTCCTTAGCATGTTAGTATTAAGAGGTGGGGCTTCGGGGTGTGATTAAGGATAGAATTAGTGCCCTCATAAAAGGCTCCAGAGGGACCTGTCACCCCTCTACTGTGTGAAGACTCAGCTGGAAGGTGTCTGTGAACCAGAGAGCAAGCCCTCCCAGAGAGGGAGCCCTCCCAACACTGCATCTGCTGGAGCCTTGATCTTGGTCTTCCAGGCTGCAGAACTGTGAGAAACAAGCTTCTATTGTTTATAAGCCCCCTAGGCTATGAGGTCTTTGTTATAGTAACCAGCCAGCTTCCCACCCAGCACTTAGAACAGCACTCAGCTACACACAGTGTTTGTTGAGCCAGTTAGTGAATGAATGAATGAGGTGAACCAACTAGTGAATGAATGAATATGCAAGGCTAGAGGGTGAAGTCAGGCAAGTTTTTGTTTAAGATAGAAGAGCCTTCAGCATGTTTGAGAGTTGGTGGGCATGGTCTCAGAACATGGTTCACTAGAGGAAAAACCCCGATAGTGCGAATTCTCTGGGCGGGTCCATGCTGGACTCTAAAGCAGGGTGAGCAGATTGGCCTTGGAGGGGGAAAAACCCCTCCCTGAGGAATGGGGATGCAGGAGTTGGGTGTCCCTGCTGGTGGCTTGGTGACTGGTAGCAGCAGGGAGGTGAGGACATCCCTCGGGGGCTGGAGTTTTGTGTATGGAGTTGGAAATCTGTCTACCTAGAGGGAAGTGTGGGCTGGGAGGTGGGGCTTGACTGGATAAGAGTTAGGACACAGGTGACCTAACGGCAGGCATCAGGCAGTGGACCCGCGGTGGGAGGTTGACAAGGACAGTTAGGACGCCTTGGAGTGAGGAGGGCAGGCTGGACTCACAGTGGAGTTTTGCTGGCTGGTGCAGCAGAAGGGACTTTGCATGACCTGTTGAAGCGACAGGCCGTATAGTTTCCTCCTAGAAAGAAAGAAGGGTCAGGTAGTGGGGCCAGAAGGGTCAGAGGGCAGTGGCTTCACCTTTGAAGATGGGTGATTGCAGGTAGTAAGAGTGCCCTGGGATGGACCGCTGAGTGGTGTGGAGAGGAAGGGCCATTGGAGCCAGGGGATGAGGAACAGAAGAAGGCCAGGCTGCCCACGTGGACATCGTGACAGGTGCTGCCAGGATCCGGGGGCTCCTGTGATCGGGCCAGGAATGGGGGCAGCAGGCAGCTCAGGGGCAGGGTGGATGCTTGGCTTCCTTCTTTGGGAACAGAGACGTGAAATAATGGATGGCGTTGGGGGGTGGGGGCGGTTAATGTGTGTATTTATTCTAAGACTAAATTTTAGAGATCCACAAAAGCTGGTTTTGGCGGGATGTTTGCAATGTGGTTGGGAAAGGGCAGCGCGTAATGCTTATACTCCCGCGGGCCTGGTGGTGGGGCTCCCCTGTCCCTGTGGCACTACCTGGCTTCCTTCCATGCTGCAGTTGTGCGTGCCTTTCCAGTTAGGAAGTCAGACGGCTAGGGTTTGTTTCTGTGTCCAGGACAATTGGGAAGACTTGAGACAGGCCATTTGCATGTGGACTAAATATTCCATGTTTACAGATGTACATAATGTGTCATAAAGTTTCATCATAAAGATCATTATATGGAAGATGGCACCGAGAGGAAAGGGCCTGCTGTAGTTCAAGGAGCCACACTGTTTTAGTGCTGAGACAAAGAGAAGCCAGTAGTTGGCACTTACGAACACGGGGTGATTTGAACTCATAAAAGAAAGTAAAAAAGGGCACTTTTCCTCTTGTTAAATCCTTCTCACATCTGGTGGACTCACACTAACCTTTCGAAATCATGATTAGTGTACTCTTTCTTTTGTTAATTGACAAAAATTATATACATATTTGTCGTGCACAACAAGATGTTTGGATATTTGTATACATTGTAGAATGACTGAATAAAGCTGATTAACATGTCTGCATTTCTTTAACAGATCATTTGCTATGTGGTGCCATCTTTAGGGTTTATTCTGTTCTATGTAGTTAAAATATACTTGGTATGTATTCCTCCTGATCAGTGGGAGTGAAATTTAGATGTTTTCATAGACCAGTTTATCCTTTGTTTAAAATTAAGTGTTCAGTTTTGGTATAAACAAGTGACATTGCTGAAAACTAGAGTGTGTGAATTGAAGCAAAGATGAAAAAACATTTAAAATGTGTTTAAAAAGTGATACATGTTTCATTGACAGAATATTTAGTTATTTTTATCTACTTTTCATGCTACGTAAGGATTCACAGGTTAACCTATCGAGGTAAGGAATGTCACCAAAGGTATTTTGAGTTGTCGTACATAAAACTCTCCTTTTGTTTCATTATTCCTAAAAATACATTGTAAGCATATAGTCTTATTTTTAAGTGTATATGGTAGTATAAATTTGAAATTTAAATTTTGGATTATAAATCTTTATAATTCTAGTTTCTTGAAGCAGCAGCTGCTGATACCCCACAGACTTACTGGGAAACTATTGTGATAATACTTGGGCGTCTGAATGTGTTTACTCTGTCACTGCTGCATGCTGGATTGTCATACTGTGCAAAGCCTACATGGTGATTTCTACTTTTTCCCCCCACATAATTTGGTTAGAATTTGCATGCCATGTAGGAATGTTGTTGCTTTAGTATTAGTTATTCTTTCAAAATGTGTGTTTATGTTGGTTGAGAAGATGACTAAGGCTTTCTTGAGCTGGACTTGAACTCGGGATGTGCATTGTCAAATGGGCACTGTGGTGGGCTCTGCTGGTGCCCACCCAGCCTCCCTCCATCAGGTGGGCTGGCACCTCTGGCTGCGGGTGCTGAGTGCTGTGCCTGCCAGTCCCCCTGGACCTTGTGGTCATCCCTGCCCCCTAGCTGCAGCCAGTGCTGGCTGGTGGGAGCCTATTCCGCGAGGCCTGCCCTTGCCTCCAGCAGGATTTTACAGTGCAGTTGACACTGCAGGCCCAGCTGCACCAGCACAACCATGTCCTTGCCATGGTCCTTGCACTGCCCTATCCAGCTTCCCTCACGTCCTTAAGGGCTTCTGCAGAGAGCAGTGCCTGCCTATGTACCCCAGCTCAGGCTCTGCATCTAGGGAATCTCACCGTGAATGCCCTAAGACCGTGGAAACTGAGGACATTGATGGGCCCTGTGTGCCCAACACCACTTAGGCAGTATCAGCACATACCCGGCTTGTATATCTGTGTCTGTCTTCCTAATCCTCGTATGTCTCATATGTTGTGTTATTTTATCCATGTCGTATATCTCATATGTCGTGTTATTTTATCCTTCACAGGTAAGGACTTTTGTGAAACATAAAACACTATCTTTATCAGACTTAGCAAAAACAACCGTTATTCCTCAGTATCATCTGACACCCAGACTATGTTCATGTTCCCCTCAACAACCATGGAAACTGAGTATTCTTAAATGACACCACAGTATGCAGAATGAACGAGACTCACTGCATGTGTGAAGGCTGTGCTTTAGTTTGGCATAGAGAATCATGGTATGTGGTAGTTCCGAGCAGATCCTGAATCTCTACGCTCTTCATCCAGGTCCTGGACTCCTCGTCCCTCAGTTTCAGCACCCGGTTGAAGTGGTTTGCCATATGCTTCGTGTGCGGCGTCTTCTTTTCTATCCTTGTGAGTTAAGGCTTTATGTTGGTTTATAATTTTTATTTTATATTAGACTAATAATTCCATTTGGCGCCAGAAGACAACCTACTTTATCTAAATCTCTGTTAGACTGTTTTGATGGAACATGTTTAGTCAACTGGAGTAAAGGGGTGAGATCAATCAAAAAGATGTAGAAATTAATATTTGAGGGATTTTGATGAAATGGTGAAATAAGTTTAAGAAAAATCAGTGTGAAGAGAGCTGGAGAGTCAGTAATTTAGGTGTGTTTATTATCTTTAACATGAATATTTAATTTAAATAGAGTAAGATTTACTGATACGTACAAAGAAAGTTTTGTTATGGTTCATTTATATGTAATCATGGAAATAGGCAGAAGACTGAAATTAGTGTATAACATCAAAAAGTAATTGGTTATTTTTCCTGTATAATCAGACTATATACAAGCACATTTATACTTAACTATATTATTATGTGATATTTATAGTATGACTGTAGTAGCACATTTACATTATAAGTCATTCAAACTGTACAATTATTTCCAAATAACTGTGCTGTTTTAACTTAGGGCACTGGATTGCTGTGGCTTCCGGGCGGCATAAAGCTCTTTGCAGTGTTTTATACCCTTGGCAATCTTGCTGCCCTAGCCAGGTATGTATGTACTTTTGGCTTCTCAAAATGCTTTGTTTATTCTTGCTACTAAATTTGCCTTCTTAATAAATACTTTCCCAAAAGAGTATGTTTTCTATAACTCTGTACAGATTGTGAATTCAACCACAGAATTTACATTCACCTAATAAATATTTATTGATTCTGCTGTGTGCCGGCTCTCATAATAGATGTTGTATTAATGATAATGGCCAACACCTAGGAGGCACTTACTGTGTGCCAGGGACTGTTCTACTCTTTTATGTGTGTGGCCGCAAGTTGAAGAGGCAGGTAGCGTTGCCATCCCTGTGTGTAGCTGGAGATGGTGGCCCGTGGTGAGTCCCGTGGTAATGTACCAGCCACTTTGGCTGGGTGGGACTTAGGGTGAATGGTGGGCTGCAGAGCCCAGACTTACTGCTGCTACGCTCTAGTCCTTGCTCTTGTGGAGTTTACGTTTTAATGAGGGTGGTGGTCACACGAAAAGCTGGAAAAATATCAGATGGTATTGGAGCTGTGCAGAGAATTAAGGTAGCATAAGGCAGCTGTGACTGAGTGTGGCTTTAGGGTGGGTATTTGGGATTTTTCATTGAGAATTTTTGATGCTTCTTTGGGTATGTTGATTTTCCATTTTCTGCTGCTGTAACAGAATACTACAGATTGACTAATTTATAAAGAATAGAATACTCATTTCTTACAGTTCTGGAGACTGGGAAGTCCGAGATCACAGCACTGGAGTTTTGGTTGTCTGGGGAGGGATGGGTCTCCGGAGGAGAGGAATGCAGCATCCCCATGTGGCAGAAGAGGGCAAGAGGTGCTTGGGTGAAGCCTCTCCTGTAAGGGCCTGGTCCGTTTCACACAGGAGGGACCCTCAGCCTAATCACCACCTGATATCATCACACTGAGAACTCCTAAACTTTGGGAGGGAGACATGTTCAAACCTCAGCATATCTGTTGGAATAGTTGTAAAGCTTTTTCCTAATGTTAAGGAAACAATAAAACAGATTTAGGTAGAGCTTTTAATTAAACTAGCGTAGGGTTTGTTTTTTTTTTTTAAAGCTATGTACTTCTGCATAGCCAGACAAATGAGTAGACACAAATCTGTTATTATCTTTGTTTCACATAGTACATGCTTCTTAATGGGACCTATGAAGCAACTGAAGAAAATGTTTGAAACAACAAGATTGCTAGCAACAATCCTTATGCTTGTAAGTAAATAATGATTACTGAAAGTGTTATATGGAAGTGCTTCTGGTATTATTTTATGAATAGTTGCCCGTTCTCACATGTGTGCCATTGTTATATTTCTCATTAAGTATAACAATTGTATCCTCAGGGCTGTGTGGTGAAGAATTAAGGCAGTCCAGTGTGACCTGAGGTTCCTGGTTGAGCAGAGTTTGCCCTGCATATGTGTCTGACATAGCCGGAAATGTTTTCAGGCCCCGCAGATTGTCTCAGTGAATTGCTCTTTGCACCCTTTGGTGGGTAGGGATAGAAGTCAGGTCACTCTGTGATCATCAGAATCCTCTCAGGGAGCGTTGGCATTCTTTGTCACCAGGCTTCTGTCCCATCTGTTTGCCTACTTGTTAAATACTTCTAACAGTATGGCTTCTGTGACAGCACCTCTCATGTGCCATTTCAGTGCACTGGTTCTATACCCAACTCCACTCTCAGGCCATCACTCTTTTTTTGTTTTGTTTTGTTTTCTTTTTTGAGTTGGAGTCTCACTCTGTCGCCCAGGCTGGAGTGCAGTGGCATGCTCACGGCCACCGCAGCCTCGACCTTCTGGGCTTAGGCAGTCCTTCCGCCTCAGACTCCCAAGTAGCTCGTCTCTCACCATGGCTGGCTGACTTTTTTTAATTGTAGAGACGAGGTCTTGCCAGGTCCCCAGGTTGATCTTGAACCTTGAGCTCAGGCAATCCTCTTGCCTCTGCCTACCAAAATGCTGGGATTATAGACATGAGCCACCGCGCCTGGCTCATCACCCTTAAATGAAGTATTCCTCTATCTGGAGCCTGCATGGGCGTAGCTGAGGGTTGTACTTGTGCTTGGAAGGTAAGTGTCCATCATCACGCTTTTGGTGCTGAGCTGGTCACTGTCATGTGTCCCCTGGAAAGGGAACCCCCTTCCCTTCTCTACTCTGCCTCCAGTTACACAAAGATTTCTTGGGTCTCTTGTGGATTTCTTCTACCTTCAAACATTTACAGTATTTAAAGAATTTCAGTATCACCATTAGCAGTGTTTAATTTTTACTTGTAACTATTAGCATTAGCTTTTCAAACACTGCTAACTTATGTTAATTCTAAGTAAGAAAATGTTTCTTTTTTATTATTTATTTTAATAGCTTTGAGAGATACAAATAGTTTTTGTCTGGGCTTTAAGAGTACCCTCCACCCCTACCTGTGAACATTGTACTCACTAGGGGATTTTTCTCCCTTCCTCCCCTTCCTCCCTACCCCCTCTGAGTCACCAGTGTCTACAATACCATTTTCTATGTCTTTGTGGATCCTTAGTTTAGCTCCCACTTATGTGAGAACATGTGGTGTGGTTTTCTGTTCCTGTATTCGTTCACCTAGGATGAAGTTCTCCAGTGCCATCCAAGTTGCTGGAAGAGACATTATTTCATTCTTTTTGATGTCTGAATAGTATTCCATGGTGTGTATAGACCGCATTTCATCATCCACTGACAGGTTGATGGGCTTTAGGTTGATTCCCCATCTTTGCAATTGTGAATTGTGCTGCGATGAACTTGTGGATGTAGCTGTCTTGGTTATATAATGACCCCTACTCTTTAGGGTGGATAACTTTAGGATTGCTGGATCAAATGGCAGGTCTACTTTTAGTTCTTTGAGAAGTCTCCATCTCACTTTCCATAGAGATTGTACTAATTTACACTCCCACTAACAGAGGAAATGTTTCTTAACTGTAATCTGTTAGCAGTCTTCTTCCATCTCCTAACCAGAGAAAAACTCATTTTAGCTTATTTTTTATATCTTCATTCAGCTTTATATTTTATTACCACTTTTATAACTATTCCAATTATTCTGAATTTCTTATATTAGCATATATACCAACATATATGTTAACACTTTACCTAGATTACTAAGAAATTGACTTTCATTATTAGACTATAAGAAGTTTATATGCCACCAAGATGTTTCTTAGATTTGTTTTATTTAAGATATCCTGGCACTTATCACCTCACCTTTTTAGTACTGTACTATGCCTTACACAAACAAGCATCATGCCAAGAGAATGTTGGAACATTCAGACATGTCAGTATTCCCCACCATGAAGGCTGTGCTCGGTTTGATGTGCTGTTCTGATGAGACCATACCTGATAATGATGTAAGGGGCTCCAGCACTTCCCCGTGACAGCCCCTCACTCAAGCCCATCACAGGCTTATTCTGATTTACTCTTTACAACAGCCCTTTAAATCAGGCAGGTTGAAACCAAGGTCTAGGCAGATGACACCTCCCAGCGGGGGATCTCCTTAGGTCTTTCTGGTCAAACACCTGACCTACTAGGCTCATGCCCAAGGCCTGCTGGCTTTATAGGGATATGGGATGGTAGTGTGATCTTTTTGTGTGAAAAATCATTGCTGTGGAGTCCTTCTGTACAGCTGAGTCGAATAGAATGCACTGTGTTTTAGCAGTTGTACTAATTGGTAGCTTCTGGTGCTGTTACTAAACATTAACATAAGCATTCATAAGAACAACTTTTTATCACTTTAACACCTCCTTCTGGTCTTTCAGTTTACTTAATCAACAGATCATTTATTAGGTGGTTCGAATTTGCCAAGGAATATTGCAGTCATAGACTTTAAAATCATGTTCATGGAGTGTGTAAGCAAAACTGGTCGACTATCTTACTAGGTTTGCTCTGTAGTATATTATCTCTGCAAACAAATGCATTTTTATTAGGCTTTGAAAGGATCTCAGATTTGTAATTCACTCTTCCTTCCCCTATAGCTATGCCTCGTGCTTACCCTGTGTGCTGCTCTTTGGGTAAGTTATATTAGCCACACTGGCTTTGTGCTAACTCTGCATCTCCTCACCAGGTGAAGTGTCATCACACCATCAACTCAAAGTCTGTTTTGTTCAAACCCTCCACACATTAAGAATCCTTAGAATTTGATATGGCAATATCCAGCTAATAGCCAAAGCATGGTAAATTCTATTGTCTACAGCATAAAGAGTTAATAAACATATGTGTACTCACTCCACTTACCCACTTCTGCACCAGGTTGGCTCCTAACAGCTCCTGTGTGGTGGGAGGCATTTGCTCAGGCTTGAGACATAGATTTCAGGTTCTGGTATTGTTTAGTACCCTGTTTGCTTATAAACAGTAGATTAAAAATAAAGAAGTGAGTAAAAATAATGATGGACAAGAATTGTCACAATAGATCACTTAAAAGTCGCCATGGAAACTGTATTCTTCCAAAAAATTACAATAAAATGCCATTTTCCCTTAAAAAGTAAGAGGAGGTATAAGAGAGTAAGATGTGTGAGTTCCACATGGTGTGGCTCTAACGAAGTGGGACTTTAAATGCTGATTTCTAGAAAGGGTGCCATTAAAGACCTGACCTTTATGAGTTTAATATTTTCAGCCTATGCACAGTTGTTTCAGTAACATTTATTTAAAGTAAAAAATGTGCAGTACTTAAATAAATGGATACAGACAGTTTTAGAATGGAAGTGTACTTTATGGATATTTAAGTTTCAGATCAACTGTGTCTTAAGTTTATAAGACTTTAATAAAATAAATGGAGCTATCATCTACACTTTTGATGGGGAAGAAGAATTAAACTTGATTGGGAAAAATATTTTTGAAGCTTCTGGCCTCACCATTCCTCTGTTTTACTGTTTTCAGCACAAAAAGGGACTGGCCTTGTTATTCTGCATATTGCAATTCTTGTCAATGACCTGGTAAGTGTTTTCTAGTACAAGTTAAAATTAAAGAGTTAAAACCGTTGGAGATGCAGTAAGCTTTTGTTTGCAGCCTGTGGCCGTGGCTTCTTGTCCTCTGGTTGGAGCCCAAGTCCTGAGCCTTCAATGAGGCTGAGGAGGGGAGGTGGGCTGAGTCCTGCAGGGCCTGGCAGGGCAGCTCCATGGGCTGGTTAACAGGAGCTGTGGAGGTGGGCTTCCCAGTGGTGGGGTGGGCTGCAGTGCTCACATGGTTACAGGGTGACATACCCATCCTTTTCTGACATGAGAAGGAAGGTGGTGAGAAGTACAGGCATATAACCGTGTGAGGCCATGGCGCAGGGCCAGGGCACAGGACCAGCCCACGGAAGGAGTTCCCATTGCTATGCGCTTGGGCTGAGTGGTTTCTAGGTGAAATGTGTTCTAGTGTTGACCCTGGCCCTGTGGTATCTGGAGGTATCTTCTGCACTGGCAGTGATGAAATACTTTTTCAGCCCCAACTGGGATCTCAGACATAGATCTGAGCCGCCTTTCTCACTTTCTCTCCTGGTAGTTTCCTCTCTCTATCTCTCCCAGTTCTCAGTCAAGCCCTGGTTCCTGGCCAGATTACTACTTCTCCCCCTCCCCCGCCCCCTCCCTGTTTCCCTCCTCCCCTCTGCTTGGGGTCTTGCACTGCCTTGAATCCACTGGCAGAAAAGGCCAGGAATATTTGACAGACTGATTAAATGTGCTCTGTGGCCCTTTGGGCTGCTCGTGTTCAACAATGGAAAATCTTTCTTTTTTCTTTTGAGCAAAGGCCCTGTTTGCCTTCTCCTCGCCAGCCAGCCCCTTCCTGATTTTGCTGTTGTACGTTGTAACCCTCTGATGATACCCAGTCTGGGATCTGTTTTTTTTTTGACCCTGTTTGTACCTTTCCACTGAGAAGTGACATCAGTGAATGCTAAATGTAGTTGTCTACATATTTCACATTAACCATGTGATTTTACTCTCATTGGTATATGAAGAAACTTAAATTGATTCTCTTGGTTATTTTCTCTAGAATTTTGCCTTTTATTATCTATATCTAATAATTGATTTTTCCCTGAAGGAGAATCTAATTTATTCTGTTATGTTACATTTTCTGTTAATAACTTAAGAGGGCAGATTTTTTATTCTAAGAAGCTCAAACTTCAGCATGTGTTAGAATCAACTAGAACATTTTTATTACAATACAGTGGACAGCTCCCTTATTGCTGTTCTGCTGCTTTCTCGAGCACACTCAGTAAACCTGTTTTCTACTCTACTCTAACTTAGGCGAATACTTGAACTGCTGGTGACCCTGGCTGTCTGGTCTCT